GGCCCTTAACCCTAACTGCTCCAGGGGCGCCTTACAATGGCAGACCCTGCACTCTGACCCCAAGCTTCTCTCCCTGTCTGTGTGTCTGTGTCTCCATGGAGAAAAGCTGGGGTATATGAAAAGACAAATTCCTAATGCAAGAAATTGTATAGGGCTAATAAAGAAACATTACATTATTACATTATAATTCAGTTCAGAACTTGTTGGCCACCAATCCCAGTGTATCACACCTTCCTGCCTGCTCTCCTTGCCATTTGCCAGGCGTGTCTCTCACACAGCTGTAGCGTCTCACGTTCTGACCGTTTGGCGCCAGTGTTTGCGTTTTTTAAAACCACTCAGCCAGGACTGGGGGGGGGGGAAGGGAGGGAAAGCTGGGATCAAAAGGGGAATTGTATGATTCTGCAAAGCTGCAATTAAGAATTTGAGAGCATGGCAGTTCCAGAAAACGAGCATATCTAACAATGGGGAAAGGCGTGCAAGTCCTACCATCCCTGCTTTCCGTCTGGAAGTGGCATGGACACAGACGATGACCCAGGGTTTTTATGGTGATTTATGGTGTATTAGTGTGAGACTTAGTGGAAACAGGCCATAAAAGGGGGCACCTTTATAAAATGGGCTGACTATGTATGTTACTTTGCCCCTAGTTTAGTGCTGTAGCTGCGCAGGACAAGTGCTTAGTGATAAGTAACATACCATGTGGGTGTGTTAGACATGCAGAACTCCACCAAGAGTCCGTAGCTTTTCAATGTGAAATATCGGTTATCTGTCTAGAAGCTCGAGGGCATAACAAAATTCAGCTGTGCCATAGAAAGAGTAGTAAGTCTTTCTCTGAATGGGTAGCCAGTTAGGAACTTACGACAGGGGCTGTGTGTTTGTGCTGTTGTGCACATGGGTGTGTGCGTGCCGATTTCCATCATTAAGAAAGAGGGTCACTCTCAGAGGTCTTGCTTGGCCTTTGGGCCTGCCCTGTGCTGTATTTATTGTTCACAATGCAGGAACTGTCATGTTTAATTGGGAAGTAAAGGGTGAATGTTTCTGGGGCATTTGTTAGCATCAAGTCTTTTAATAAAATAATTAAAAACAAGATTTTTTTTGTCTTTTTTATTATGCTACATTTCTCATTGTGACCTTTCCCAACCTGCCATCAAAACATTCTTAGCAGCAGTTTTGATTCCATCTGTCTTTTGCTATGAAAAACTCCACTCTCTGCATAAGTCTGCACGCCTTTCATACACAGATAATTCTTACGAGTATTTCTGCACTGCTGTGGTGCACTGATGTCCCATCCTGAGTGAATTCCCCCAGGCACCCCAGATTCCTGATGTCCCATCCTGAGTGTATCCCTCCTGGCACCCCAGATTCCTGATGTCCCATCCTGAGTGTATCCCTCCTGGCGCCCCAGATTCCTGATGTCCATTCCTGAGTGTATCCCTCCTGGCGCCCCAGGTTCCTGATGTCCCATCCTGAGTGTATTCCTCCTGACACTCCAGGTATATAACAAGTATATACTGATAAAGCACGTTTGGTCTTGCTTCCTGTGCTGGTGTTGCATTAGTTAATCTGAAATCACCAAGGTCTGCCTTCCCCAGCCTGTCTCAAAAGTTGAAACACAGGACAGCACAGCATACCAAAACTAACCATCAGGAAAAACAGAAAATCTGAAATACCTGAACCTGCCAACTGCAATGCCTACTTGCTTTTCATTTGATTTTTTATCCAAATTCTGCAAGTTGTCAACGTGTGCTATTTTTTGCATCTCTTTTTATTTTTACAATTCCTTGGAGAAGGGAAAGCTTTCTTCCATATTGACGACTGGGGGGACTTGCTGTGCTCACAAATAAAGACTGACACGCTAGAAGAAATGGGGGAAAATGAATGCAAGGCGATTGTCATGGCATTTGGTATTCAGAGGAGCTGATGCTGCAATGCTGAGGATAAAGAGCCCAGAGGCTTAGCGAATTTGGGAGATGAGGAGAAAGAGATTCATGTTTTTGTTGCCATCAATCTAGGGGAAATTAGCCAGAGATGTCCAGGAAGAATTAAAGATTTCTGCCAGACAGAGATGGACAATCATCTTCATAATGACTTAATCATAATGACAGTAATAACCACAATATGTAGAAATTCTGCCACGAGAGCAATTCTCTCAACGCTTCTTTTAGGAGGTATACAGATTTGATTTTAAGTTTGATATTAATATCAAAATTTGAAATGTTTTAATGCTGAAATCTGATCCCACCACGATAATGCCCCTCTTGTATCGAACATTTGCATACATTTTTGTTTTTCCTCAAAAATATCGTCATATTTTAAAAATATTATTTTTTTGTGCCGGAGCTGCTTTTAAACAGTTGGGATTCTAATGGCTTTCCAGACACAGCATTCACTCGCTACGCTATAGAGTGTCTTTCTACCCCAAACCCCAAAAGGTAGCTTTTGTCAGTCAGAACTTCCTTGTGGACGATTTAGAGGGAGAATCTCTCTGATTTTGTGCATGATATTACTGCTGGTGTTTTCTGCATTGTTCGGAACACCACACTCACGTAACAGAAAAACAAGCGATTACAAAGTGGAAGAAAGTGGTTGCACAACCATTATCATAGCGAATGTCTTGGTTTAGTTGATGTAATGGAGGGCCTGAGATATGCAAGGCAGAAGGGGGGGGGGGGTGTACTTTAAACAGAATAATGCCAACTGAAATTGTTGCACAATGCCTTTCAATGGACATGCATTTGGGTGAAGTTAATAGGAAAACGCCTTCTATGTCATTGAACAGCGATGATCTATATTAACTCCCACTGCCTCTGACTCAGTACTGACAGACACTGGAAATGTACTGAGTGTGTCTTAAAATTTCTAAATTGCCTAATCGGCAGTAGCAAGACCCCATTTCCCCCAACAAACACACACCCTATATGGAAAAATGTGCTCTACACTAGGGCACAAAAGTATAGGGGCTGTTATTTATATAGGCTGATTCATGACACACATGCCATAGAGCAGAGAGGGGAAGAACCTCAGCCCTTAATTTAACTCCAGTGGCCTGGGCTCACAATCCTCTCTGGACATAAAAGGGCCGCCAACCTTCCATACGTTTCTGTTAAAAAAGTCAGATTTTAACACTGTTTTTAAGGACAGCAGCCATTGGGGTTTGAAGAAGTTGACCGTTTTGTTTCAGGTGTTGAGCTTGTTGCTCAAAGCAAAGAAAAAGAGCCACAAGAGAATACTGCCATCCTCCTCCCCAGCAGAACCGCAGTCTTCAAGAAGACAGAGACGAAAAATAGAAGAGTCAGAGAAGCAGAGATGTCCGTAATTCAATAGACAGAATTACATTTCATTCTTGTCTGACTGTAATTTACAGTGCAAACATTTACAATAGGTGGCACAGTAAAAGTTTGGAATGGTCAACCATTATTCTGATATATTGGTACATGAAGGGAAGCCATTTCCTGATGAATATGTACTGGATTCCTGCGAGGGTGTTGTGTTTTTGGAACACATCCCACAGGAGCTCATGCTGGTGGGGTCACAGGACAGCATTTTAGCATTGCTAAAGAGTTTAGCATTGCTGCCTCAGCACTGGGGCTCTGGTTCAGTCCCTGACCTGGGGTGCTGTCTGTGTGCGAGTCTGTATGTTCTCCCCATGTTCAAATGGGTTTCCACCAGTCACTCTAGTTTCCTCACACAGGCCAAAGAAATCTGGTACATTCATGAAATGCCCAGGTATGAGTGTGTTTGTGACTGTGCCTGCCTCTCCATGGACAGGCCTCCATGGACACCCTAAATTGGATAAAGCAGTTAGAAAGTGGATGGATGTCGATATCCCTGGAATTGTGATGTTGTGATGTATCTGATAGTAAACAACTTGTGCAAATTGTGTGATGATCCTCAACAATGTTTGTCACATCAGGCATCCCACAGGGTACTGTGCTTGGTCCTATTCTTATTACCTATGTTTACTTGGATTTGATCATTTGTAAGTGTAGCAAAGTTTTCATTTCCATGTTGCTGACACATTTTTGAAGTGTCAGTTCTCACTGTTTGGATCAAATGTGAGAGCCTCATTGCCTCTGGGATTTTTTCCAACATTAATTAACCATTTAATGTTCCTAGACATGTCCAGGAGTTTGGGAGGCATGGTGGCAAAGTGGTCAGCATTGCTGCCTCGCAGCGCTAGGCCCCTGAGTTCAACACCAGGCTAGTGGTGCTATCTTCATGGAGTCTGCATGTTCCCCCATGTTTGTGTGGGTTTCCTCCAGGTGCTGTGGTT